TATATATATATATATATATATATATATATATATATAGTGCTGTCAAACAATTAATATTTTTGATTGTTTTAATTATTTAATAGTAACAATTATGCTATGGCATATTATCAAAATTACATATTATACTGGCCTCACAATATAAAGTATGTGAAATAGTACATTTTTATTCATTTAATATTCACTTTATTTAATTTTTTAAAAATAATAACTTAGTTTATAGCTGCTTATATGTATTTTTTCTGAATAAACTAAAAACAAAGCAAAACAACTAGTTGTTTTAAATGCTACAAGAGAATTAAAGCGTCACAACATTATAATAACTAAGAAATATAGATATTCATTGTGACTGAATTTTTATGATGTTGTTGTTGTTTTTTTACAGGTTTTGAAGTCAGCGTTAGATAACAGGTGGCCCAAATGTAAAAACAGAGGAAGTTAGATCTAAAAGATGAGATAATGTCAGCTGATGGACCATATATCGTGCATCTGTAACACTCGTAATGCAGTGCTTCTGTGGTTCTCCTCTGTTTTTGTGGCCTACTTTGACTCATCCTCATGTGGTCATGTGCTGGCCTCATGCCTGCCTGAGTTCATGGCCCAATAACCCATCCTTAAAAACAGGAAGTGTCCTTCCTGATGCAGCGGCACTCGCCTTCAAGCGTTTCTTCAGCGTTCAACCGCCGCCTTGATGATCGTGGCTAATCAGACAACAATGAAACCTTGTAACATGTCTCAAAATGAAAGTGTCCGAATGAGGTTACAATAGCTATGTTTCCATCCAAAGATTCAAACTTAACTTGTGCGCAAAACTGGAATATCGCATAAAACATTTGCGAATAAAGCACCGTTTCCATCCAACGAGTCAAAGAGAACAAAATCGTCACTTCCTGATAAACTGGCACTAAATATCTCTATGAAAACTAGGAGAAGCCACTGAATATAATAATTTTCATATGTAATAAAAGACTTGCGCTTCAGCGAGAGCAGACGTAACACAATAATGCGGTCATTGCTTTTAGAGGTGCCTGCTGTTTGGGAACGCAGTCGTGTGAGACAGTAATTATACAGAAGTACTTTGATGACAGATTTTGCTCAGGCATTTCAGAACGACCAAAACAACATATAGATGCTGTGAACGAGATCGGTCCGCTGGTTAGTCAATTTATCCCGTCTCATAGCGCAAACTTTTTGGGTGGAATTTATTCGGTAAATGTGACCCTGGAGCACAAAACCAGTCATAAGGGTCAATTTTTCGAAATTAAGATGTATACATCATCTGAAAGCTGAATAAATAAGCTTTCCATTGATGTATGGTTTGTTAGGATAGGACAATATTTGGCTGAGATACAACTATTTGAAAATCTGGAATCTGAGGGTGCAAAAAAATCTAAATATTGAGAAAATCGTCTTTAAAGTTGTCCAAATGAAGTTCTTAGCAATGCATATTACTAATCAAAAATTAAGTTTTGATATATTTACGGTAGGAAATTTACAAAATATCTTCATGGAACATGATCTTAATATCCTAATGATTTTTGGCATAAAAGAAAAATGCATAATTTTGAGCCATACAATGTATTGTTGGTTATTGCTACAAATATACCCCAGCGACCTAAGACTGCTTTTGTGCTCCAGGCTCACACATGTGTTTCCATTGTAGTTTATGCACATTTTTTCTTATCAGATTAAGTTTATCCTGCTCAGTTGTGCGCATACGTTTTTTTTATGCGCATTTTTAGAATTGATGGCGTTTCCATCCAGAATGCAATATTCCAAAATGCGCATAAAAACAGGTGGAAGGAAACATAGCTGATGTTAAGAGCATTCTTGTCCATTTTCCTCTGGAGTGTCCCTCAGACCGCTCTTGTTGTAGTTGTGTGCTTGGTCCAGCAGAGGGAGCTGTCAGCAGTCTTTTCTGATTGCTTGTTCCTGTGCACAGGGTTTCCTGATCGGAGCCCGTCCCGAGAACGCCTGCATCCCGATCGACCCCCCTCCCCTGCGGGACAACCTCAGCAGCGCCTTCATCGTGCTGATCAAGCGCTTCGAATGTAACTTTGACGTCAAGGTAGGTTTAGACCTGGGGACGTTTGTTTCCCTCGTTCGCCTGAAACACCACAGATCTCCCCCTCAAGAGTCTCACTGGGAGCGTGGGAAACGTTTGTTTATACACGCAGCGTAACGTCTCCACGATACCTGACCCTGTGCCAACACATGAAATCCTCAGGCAACTCACTGCATGTGTTTCTGCAGCAGGGGAAGATCTCTATCACAGTGAAACTAGCAGTTTAACAAAGCCTGCTGGATGCTGGCGGTGGAAACAACTGTGTTTCCGTAGTATTATGTGTGTACCATTGTAGTATTTATGAATATTTTAAATGAGGTTTTATTTTTTTTCCATTTTTATTTTTTAAAATTTTTTAAAAATATTTTTATTTAGCTTTTAAATATATTTAAATATATTTAAATTATTGACTTTTTTCAGGCAACACTTTCGTTTAGGTCAGAGTTGTTCATCTAATATTTATGTTTTATTTCAGCTTTATTTCAAATAATTACATTTGAAATAGTTTTCATTTTAGTCAGGGTTATTGAAGTCAACTAAACTATAGTTGTAGTTCACTATGGTTGTTGTAGTTCACTAAAACTAAACATTTTGTGTAAAAATGTTGTTAGTTTGAATAAATGTTAACTAAAAATAAAATGACTAAACATATTTTAATTCACGTAAAAAAGCTATTTTATTAAACTTACTTGCGCTTATTTAAAGCTCCTTTTATTTCAACATTTCCAATTTTTGTTTAGTTTAATTTGAAGTACTAAAATAACTCAAATTAAATAATACCAATAAATAAAAAAATGAAAAACTATATAGACATAAAAAAACAGAGAAAACACACAACAAAATGAAAACATTACTGAAAACAGAAAATATAAATTAAAACATAATTCTAAAATCTATATCAATTATACTAAAATAACACTGATCTTAGAATGACACTGATTTCATGCTATATATATATATATATATATATATATACACACATATAACAAGAATACTAGCTAAATTTTAAATAATCAAGTCATTTTTTTAATCCAAATAAGAGGTACATTTTTATTTTGTAATGACATTCTAGTCTCCTAGCAATGCTTGACAAAGCATTTTGTCCCATCATGCTTTTGCTCAGGTACATTGTGTGTGTGTGAGAGTGTGTGAGAGTGTGTGAGTGTGTGTGTGTTTAAATCCATAATTTATATAAAAAATGTCCTGCTGTTACTCCTAAAACTACAAACACGGGTAACATAGAAACGCCTCCGTCCAAGTATGCAAATGCGCTCCTAAATGCAAAACCAGCCCCTGCTCTCCAAGACGCGCTTCACTGCGCACACATATCATGCTGCTGGCAAACGATATGCAAAGACTTCAAGAGGTCTGCCTGCAGTTTCTGTTCACCTGCGGGACTTTGGACGACTTCCAATCACAGTGTAATCGCGTAACGCCTGTCGAACTGTTGGAAATATTTTTCCTATACCACAATAAACGTTAATCATCGACAGCGCTGTGGAATTTGTACACCTTTGTAAGGGTGTGTAGAGATAGAGTATGGTGATAAAACATCAGGTAAAAACAAAAGCATAACATTTTAGCGCATCTTTCACAATATTTTCTAATCGGGTGATGATATATCTACAGCTGATATTTTATCTGTGAGCTTCACGCAACGTGAATGTGATTGATGTCTGTATCTGAGGAATGTCTTGAATGTTTTTATCACTGCTTGCACAAACATTCACTAATCACTAATCCAGTACAGCAGGAATCTCACTCTAGACCACTTTACCAAGAGCACACGTTTATATATGCAACAATACAGCACTAGAATGTGTTTTAAGTAGTTTTATGTATCTTGGTCGTGTTGCATGTTAAAAGTGAGAATCTGATCCCGTAATTCTCAGTTCTGCCTTTAGTGGCCGCTGAAAACGCAGGCTGTTAAATGAATGATACCGAAGACAAGACTGAGCTGAAATGACAAATACTCAAGTTTTGTCCTCTCTACTGCGCAAAGGTCTTCACTGATCAAGTCTGAAAGTTACGTTTGATGTGAACATTCATTAAAGAAACCTTTATGGTTATATTTTTAAATGTAGTTTTACTGGTTGATACACTGATAAATCAGCTAGGGATGTTAAATTATTAGCTTTACATGCCCTTGTATTGCTTCATTTATTTATTTATTTAGTCAGATATTACAGGAAATGTCGAGTACAGTAAGTGTTTTTTAATTTCAGTAAATAAAAAAAAAATCACTACATTTCGGAAAACATTTACTTGCATTAGCAGGAAATAGGGTTGCAAAAAGGTGGAAAATTTCCAGCAAATTTTGGAAACATTCCAGAAATTTTGGAAACATTCCAGGGATTTTTGGAAAGTTTCCGCTTCTGTCTCTGTCCTCGTCCTTCTTCAGGTCCTCCATGCACAGAAGGCCGGCTACAAGGCAGCGATTGTCCACAATGTGGACTCTGATGACTTAATCAGCATGGGATCCAATGATCGTAAGTTCATGCGCACGAATGCATAAAATTCTGCAGCGGGACAATGCTGTGATTCACAAACCTCGGCCCCTGTGCTGCTAATAACCAACGCTGTATTTATGAAGTCTGAGCCGTGATGCCGTTTGACTTGGAATGTTGGGATGAAGGCCAAAGTAGAGGAACCAACCTTCAGCGTTCTTAAGTCGAGCTTTATTGTCATTCTGCTACAGGTGTGGACATATAGTGGAACGAAATGCTACATACTAGTTAAACATAAATATAAACATACAACAATAGAAGTATAAGAAAAACAATTAGAGACCTATACAACAGTTAACCATCTGACTATACATATACTATAAATACTATAAATATTTTACTATACATGCACAAACTGAGACCGTACAAAAACTTTACGTAAATACTGTACATGAAATTGTGCAAAAGAGATATTTTGAATATATATTTCGAAAGGAATAGGTTACTCAAAAATGAAAGTTTTCTGAAAATGTCCTCACCCTCAGGTCATCCAAGATTAGGATGAGTTTGTTTCTTCATCAGGTTTGGAGAAATGTAGCATTATATCACTTGCTCACCAATGGATCCTCTGCAGTGAATGGGTGCCGTCAGAATGAGAGTCCAAACATCATAATAAAAACAAAATAATAATCCACAACATATGTCCATATTTCAATCAGCTCTCATATAGATTTAACAGCATTTGACAATAATGGGGTGTAGGATTGATGTTGAGCAGATATAGACAGGTGGTGCTGGGGAGGAGGAGGGTTAAAGGGGTCATATGATGCTGCTAAAAAGAACATTATTTGTGTATTTGGTGTAATGAAATGTGTTTATGCGGTTTAAAGTAAAAAAAAAACACATTATTTTCCACATACTGTACATTATTGTTTCTCCTCTATGCCCCGCCTTTCTGAAACGCGTCGATTTTTACAAAGCTCACCGGTCTGAAAAAGCGAGGTGTGCTCTGATTGGCCAGCTATCCAGTGCGTTATGATTGGCCGAATACCTCAAGCGTGAGACGGAAATGTTACGCCCCTCACATACCGTGTCCGGCCGGAGCGACGAGACATAAACATTAAAACCCATTACAAACGAGGCATTTGTTGCATCCAGTGGGGACATAATTACAGATTATAAACTCCAAAGAGAAAGGAAAACTTGAAATCGCATCATATGACCCCTTTAAATAAAACTTTCAGTTTTCATTCATTTGTTTTATTTATTAATGGAGTGCAGGATTGATGTTGAGCAGATCTAGACAGGTGGTGCTGGGGAGGAGGAGGTTTAAATAAAACTTTCAGTTTTCATTCATTTGTTTTATTTATTTCAAGTGAACTATTCCTTTAAAGTGGACACAAAATCAATGTTATTTTACATTTTAAAATACGCTCGATTATTTAACATTCATTTGTTTGAGGAATCAAAGTGAATCAGAATCAAATCTGGTCGCATTTAGTGTCTTAATGTACGCTTGTATTTTACATTTTTTTGCAGTGGATATTCTGAAGCAGATAGACATTCCCTCAGTGTTTATTGGTGAAGAAGCGGCCAACTCTCTCAAAGAGGATTACATCTATGAGAAAGGGTGAGGGCTCTGATTTCACTACTGAATACTTCACTGTTCAGATGGTTACTTAACAGAAACATCTGATGAATTCAGCTGCGCTGGCGCTCCAAGAGTCATATGACACTATAGAAAGTCTGCTGTTTACACAAAGTATTCACAAACGGTTTTTCCACACCAAAATTACTGAATTAAATTAAAAGGTTCATATATTTAATTATATATATGTATTTAATACTAATAATACATTACATACATACATAATATGTGACCCTGGAGCACAAAAGCAGTCTTAAGTCGCTGGGGTATATTTGTAGCAATAGCCAACAATACATTGTATGGGTCAAAATTATTGATTTTTCTTTTATGCCAAAAATCATTAGGATATTAAGTAAAGATCATGTTCCATGAAGATATTTTGTAAATTTCCTACCGTAAATATATTAACTTAATTTTTGATTAGTAATATGCATTGCTAAGAACTTCATTTGGACAACTTTAAAGGCGAATTTCTCCATATTCAGATTTTTTTGCACCCTCAGATTCCAGATATTCAGATAGTTGTATCTCAGCCAAATGTTATCCTCTCCTAACAAACCATACATCAATGGGAAGCTTATTTATTGATGTATACATCTCAATTTCAAAAAATTGACCCTTATGACTGGTTTTGTGGTCCAGGGTCACATATGAGTTCTAAGTATTATTGTCTGTTTATAAGACCTGTCGTATAAAAGCAGCATCACACTCACAGGCTTGCTTTGTGTTTTCAGTGGTCATGTGATTCTCATGCCGGACTTCAGTTTGCCTCTGGAATATTATCTGATCCCATTCCTCATCATTGTTGGAATCTGCCTCATCCTCATTGTAGTTTTCATGGTGAGTCATGATTGTGTGTAATTAAAAAAAATATGAGCAGACAACCAAATATATTAGCCTTGACTGAGATGTTTATATCTTTTTAATCTCAGATCACAAAGTTTGTACAGGACAGACATAGAGCCAGGAGAAGTCGCTTACGCAAGGACCAGCTGAAGAAACTCCCAATTCACAAGTATAAGAAAGGTAAGACACGTCTTAAGATCTAACACTGAGAATTCATTGAGGATCAGCATGCAAATACATAAAATACATCATACGAAAAGAACTCTTTAATTTAGTCATAAGTGACAGAGAAGACGATGTTACTGCAAAAAAAACCCATTTCAAATAAATGCTGTTCTTCTGAACTTTGTATTCAACAAAATATAAGTTTTCACAAAAATATGAAGCAGCACAACTGTTTTCAACATTGATAATAATAATAATAATCAGCATATTAGAATGATTTCTGAAGGATCATGTGACACTGAAGACTGGAGTTAATGATGCTGAAAATTCAGCTTTGATCACAGAAATAAATTACATTTTACAATATATTTGCATAGAAACGTTATTTTAAATTTATAATAATATTTCATAATATTACTGATTTTCCTGTATTTTTGATCAATTAAATGCAGCCTTGATGAGCAAAAGAGAAATCAACCCCAAACTTTTACCAGTAGTGTACAATTATCGCAAAGGTTTTTATTCGTTATTTGTTTGACCATTAAATTGTGTAAAGACTCACCAGAATGAGAGATTCTAATAGTTCTAGAATCTGATTCAAACGTCAATTAAAAAGATCTAACATGTTTGATTCATGCCATCAAATCAGTTCTTTTAAACTGTCCATTTGAAATTCATTTAGCTACGATAAATTTATAGTTCCTCTGGAAACGCCATTTCAAAGCAAATACGTAAATATAAATTATTTTTTAAAAATGGGTCATTTTAAAAACATCAAAAATGTAAAAAGTTAACGTCAGTTGTAAAATGTTAATGTTTACTGAACTTAAATGGCAAAGACCCCAATCAAATTCACTTAAACGGCCGTCTGATTTGCGTTTGAGGGAAAATCCAGTGTTTTTGTAGGCTCTTCCACTTATTACTAATTTCCTGTATGTACCAGAAATATTGCAGCACTGCTTTTGTAAGCAGAACACTGTATACTTTGGATATACACTCTATACTTAGTAAGAATGGGCCTTTTAGCCTCTTTATTTTGATGTTGTGAAGCTGTCGTGTTGCTGGTTCATCAGTATTCGGTATTATCCGTGCCGCACAACAGAAAGTGGGAGAAATGTGGAATTCCCCTCCCGCGCGTTTCCACCTCCTCATAGTGAATCATCAAGCCATTTTACAACCAAATCAACACCGTGACCATTGACCATTCACTGCATGAATGAGCATCCTGTTCAGCTCGCTCATAGTGCATTAGAAATGTGTTCGCCTGTAAACGTGAAAGCAGACGCTGGAGACATTCCTCCTGAAGAAGGTGTCAGACGTCACTTTCACTGAGTATAAGGAGAGAGTGCGGTCTGGACTCAGGTTACAGACACACCTGTGTTCATGTATCCACTTTCAAACATTAAACAGACGAAAGGTGTGCGAGGTTTCCTAAAGCCACCGTCTCTTACGCTTTAGATATTCAGAGCTAATGAGAGTCATATCTGCGTGAAGGTCATATGTAATCGTTTCCCTCGTATGTATTTACCAGATGTCATGTGGATCATTTATCTGCAACAAGTGAATGCTACCAGGACGTGTACTTAAAATTGGTTCAGAAATAAGCTTTATTTTCTTTATGCAAAACATATGGACATGAACAAGGCAGCTTGTCTATTTGAATGATGTTTAAATGACTACAGTGGAGAATAGGACTGTCACGAAATCAGATTTTCACTACAAAATTATCCTGGATAAGAGATAGAATTCATGATAACTATTAGGGATGCACCGATACCACTTTTTTCAGAAAGAATATCGATACCGATACTTTCACTTTTGGTACTCGCCGATACCGATACCTGTATTTTCACAGCATTTGTAATGTTTTTTAAATATTGGATACAGAAACAAAATAATAATAATAATGTGAATCATGTTAGTTGGCTTCATTTAGCAAACAGATATTTCCTTCAGTTATTTCCACACTTAATTATATTATAAAATGTTTTGTTACTTTCACTGTTCATTTTAATGGCGCATTAGAGCTGCTCCATTGCAGCAATACTGTAGTCATAAGACGTTTTCCTAAATGCAGGGAACCACTCGTTACACATTATACGAGTACACGCGTACTATTTTGGTAAATATAAATTAAATATAAATAAATGAAGAATGAGAGACACTTAAAGCCTAGCGCATTTCACACAGTCTGCTAGTTTCACTTCTGCTTTAAATAAAGTTGTGTATGCTTGACGTTTAAAATAAATATTTATAGTGAATGCCCCTATAATTTTTGTTTTATATTTACGATTAAATTTTAGTTTTAATTAAATTACGATTAAATTTTTTAATTTAGTTTTAATCCAAATGCATGCGCTAATGGAGCGAACAGCAATCAAGATCATGCAACAGAAGTGCGCGCTCTCTCGCTCTCTCTCTCACTCTCCTTACCGCCAAAAAACTTTAGTAACTTGTGCATTGTTGTACTTGCTTGCTTTTGACATATCCGACCGAAATACAAACTTTCCAGTGATGTCTGTGAGATATTCACTCGACAAGCTCGCGCATCTGTGCCGCCACGTGCTCAATCCACTCTTAGTGCGCTCTGCTTATCAGCTCGCGCACATCCGCTATACAGGCATGAATATTGAATGTTTAACATTAGATTAATTACTTACATGTACTTCTTAGACATCCTTAATCTCTAATAGCTCCATTCTACTCTCTGTTGTTCTGTTGTCAGTGTTTCTTTTTCAGGACACAGCTCTATTCACACGCTGTGTGGTGTCGGGTTTTGGTATCGGGGCATTTTTACAAGTACGAGTACGAGTACAGGAGCGCAGTATCGGGCCCGATACCAGTATCGGTATCGGTGCATCCCTAATAACTATACTATCGCAACAGCGATAGAAATTTTGAGGAATAAAAATAACGCTATTAGTAAAATTAATAACTTTTACGTTTGTAATTTGTAACCATAACTGTTAAAAAAACGTGTTAAAAAAAGTTAATCTGTACTAGCTATAACTAGCTAACAATAATGATAGCGGACGATAATGTTCTTGTTATAAGCGTGTGCTGCTGTTATATCGTCCGCCACTTTAAAAACCCTGTTCACGTCAGGAACAATAACTATAATGATAGCTATATTAGCATCCACACCAGCGGACGATAACTTCCTTATTTTAAGTGTGTGCTGCAGTTTTGTCATCTGCTGCTTCAAAGCCTCATTCACATAAGAACGATAACTGTAAAGATAACGATAACTATATTAGTGTCCACACCAATGCACGATTTATTCATTATAAGCATGCTCTACGTTTTTGTCGTCTGCCACTTTAAATGCTTAAGCTCTTTAAAGCAGGATGGATTCTGATTGGTTGTCAGTAGGCACGTTTCCATTACAGATTTGCGCAAAACTTTGGCAATATTTTATATAATGTCGATAAAAAAGTATTGCGAAATGGCGGCGTTTCCATTAACCAATGTTATGCGACTAAAACGTAAACTTTTGCCTCTCGCAATAAGTCATGGCAACGGATTTTGGCTATATTTATTCAAAGGAGGCGTATGCGTGTATCTTTACAGAAGCAGCACAGAGAGCCGCTTCAGAAACCTGCGTGGCGCGGCTGGAATAATCACAATCATTGACTAGAGTTCAGAGTTCAGCTTCAGTGGCCGTATCAGAGCCACACTGCACCGCAGACGTGTGCAGTGTAAATTGTCTAAGCATTAATGGTAGGGAAAGCCCCTTATACTGGAGACCGGCCACGTATGAAGTGTTTCTTGGAGGTTATAGTACATTGAAGAATGATCATATGACTTTTTACATACGCCATGTGACCTGTAAATGCGGAAAAAACGTTTCTATTGCAGTTTTGCGAAATATTCCTTTTTCGAATTGCCTGAAAAACCACCTCATGCGAGCGTAAAAACTTTTTTGCGATATACGGGAGTTTTTGCAAAATTGACACGTTTCCATTAGGCGTATTTTCAATTCGCAATTTTAATTTGCGCAATTTGAAGGGTAATGGAAACGCAGCTAGTCTCGCTTTGATGTTTCATCTAATCTGACATGTTTTTTTTTATGACAGTAATAGATATTGCATCATCTTCCATTTTCGTTATGACAGTTGGCATCAGTGTTACGGTGCAATAGCACCACCTACTGTATTGGGGTGTCAACCAGATACTGGTGCTGGATTTTTCCAGATATTATTTTGTGTATTATCTGTATTTAATTTTTTTTACATATCACGGTTATCGTCAATACCTGTATATTGTGACACCTAGTGGATATTACTTTTTTGTCTTAATAGCATATTTTATTATTATTATTTACACAGTATATAACATATTTATTAATTGTGCTAGTTGGAGACCTAGGGAAAGCTAAACCACAGAAGTTTAATATTTAGTTCGCTACATAATAAGTGATCATATTAATGAGATTTAAAATTGAATACTAGCTTACTGTTTACTAAATAATATGCAGTGTACACTACATATTGCCTACTACTCTTCAGTATGCACTTTGCAATGATACATTTTTCAGTGGTTGTCACATGATCTTAACACTGAAGTGCATTGCATTGTGGGATACACTATTCTGTCTAAAAGGCTTTGTTGCATATTGCACATTTTCACAAATAAGCAGTTAGGCTGAGTCCGAAATCGCATATTCACTTTTGAATAATTACTTCGCGACCGTTATATTCTATATAGTATGAAAGTAATCTAAACTTACATTATTCACATTTTCATACATCAGCCAGAAAAATATTTATTATTGAGAATATTAACAATTTTCAGTATTTAGAGGAAAAAAGGTTTTTTTTTTGGTTTTTTTTTGATGGCACAACTTACCCCATATATATATACAGAGGTGCACATAAGTGGTACGCAGGTCCGCATGCGCGACCACAATAAAACATGCACTGTGTAAATAAGTTCTGACAGCGTATTTGCGTACCGACATGATTGACAGCTGTTAATGCTGTTAATCACCATTTTAGATCGACAAACTGTACTGTATAAGATTTCTATTCAAACTGAAAGCATAAATCTAGGCTATCCGCTGCCGTTTTTTCAAAGCACAATTTAAAACTGTGACATTTAATTTACTGACATTCTTCAATCGGCAGCTCCAAACCCGGAAGCGCATATACTTACTTTGCTGGCAACCCGCCAAAATAAAAGCCTGCTGATTTTAAGTTAGAAAATGATGAAAATTATAAAAAGTCGTAAATATTAACATTTTATTTTTAAGTTTACTATAAAGTAATTGTATTTGTATTTAATACTTCCCTTTAATTTTAAAATATAATAGTATTATCACACTTTATTATTTAGTTTATTATTTTATTTTAAAAAAACTAAATAAATAAAGTGCAATAATATTATCAGTCTTATTAATTAATTTTTTTATAGTTATATTTAATGGGTAACAGTATATGCAGTGTGAGGACCAAACCAAATCTGCAGGTTCTCATATGAGAACCAGGCTGAAAAACTTATGTGCACCCCTGCACACACATGCAGTATATATTTCAGAAAAATAGGTTGTTTATATATTATATTTATTAATAATATAAATTATATGAATATATAGACATGTAAATATTTTCAAAATATATACTGTATGTGTGTGTATTTATATAAACATAATAAATATACACAGTACACACACATATATTATTTAAACAAACTTTTATTTTGTATGCGATTAATCGTCTGACAGCACTAATTTTAACACCAGCAGTTGTTTCATCCGTGTGGACATTACTGAGGCTCTTGAATCCCGTCACACACAGATAAAGGCCTGCAAACGTGTGTGTGTTTCACCCTGATGTTCACCTTCCTCTGGTTCCCGCTCGTGGCATCTCTGCTGACTCGTTGGTTTTCTTCATCCGGCCGCTGTGCTGATTCATGGCTTCTGCCGGCCGCTGCAGTCTGCCTCGCTGACAGAGAGAGCGGGTTTTTCCTGTCGTATGACCGCAGACCCACAACACACAGCTGCTGTCATATACGACAACACACTGGCGCTCTACTGCAGGCTCTTTTAAACTCTTATCTATAGACTGATCATAGTGTAGTAAGCATTTCAATATATTACCTTTGAAAGATATATATATATATATATATAAAAAAGTTATAATCAGGGTGTGAATTACACATAGTGACCTCTGTAGACCTTCAGTGAATCTCTGAATAGGCATTACAAAAAAAAAAGTAGCTTTAGAAAGAAATTTTAATTCCAACATACAACAATACAAATAAATACTGAAATATGAAATGATTTAAAAAAAAGAAACAATGCTCTAAATATAAAACTAAAAGCGCCACTAAGTGGTGGCAAATCACTGTCTTAAGTCATTCAGTCGATTCAATCAAACGGCTGATTCATTCAGAAACAAAGCAAGTGACTGTCTTTATAAATGGCTCACTGAATCATTGACTCACTCGATTCGTTTAAAAACGTGGATTGATTCGGTAAAGAAACACCGCTGTGTGTTGATCGCAACAGTTCTCCAAGGGCTTTATTTTCGTTGCCGTAATTATTGACAATGTGTCTAAAATTTAATTATTTGCACCTTTACGTTATCTTCATTTTTAAGTAAAAACTTTTACGTAACCTATTTTTGTATTTCTACCAGCCAATGATGATTCTGAAAGAAAACACGCGGTGTTTGTTATAGTTACACATGCAGCTTTCGTGCGCGTCTGACTGACAGAACCGCGCGCTTGTATTCCAGCGGTGCTGTTAATGCTACGGTTAGTTTAGCAAATGTGTTAAAATACTGTATTTAAATATTCTTTCAGAAAAAATTGGTGAATCAGGCTGAAGTGAATCAGATGTGCAAACTCAAAAATTCAGTGCAAATATGTCACGAATATCGAATATGTCTAACAAATTAGCAAATTCAAAAACTTTGAATTGCTAGTAGCGCTGCACGATATATCGTTTCAGCATCGATATCGCGATCGATATCCTTGTAAACACAGTTGCTTATGGTTTAGGTGAAGGTAAACAATTGAGAAAGAAAATGTGTAACAGTATATTGGTTCACAGCAGTTTAATGTTCCTGTTGCTTTCTGTGTCATGAATGTTGATCAAACAACAAAACGTGTAGAGAAAAATCACTTTTGTAGCTTTAACACAGATTTATTAGATTTAATTGATACAGTGAAGACTCTATGCAGTGTTATTTTACATTTGATTATTCAATTTCTGTTAGACTTACCTGAAAAATATAAAGCACTGTTTATTCATTTCTATCATATTTATATTTATCCGTGCTTGTAATTTGTTTATTTTCTATGCTGATTTACTCACCTACAAAATCACACCAATCATTGATCTTTTTTTTTTCCAAATAGAGCTATTCAAGTCATCCGGTGATTTTTTTTTTTTTTTTTCATATCACAATATAATGTGATACAACGTAGTTCATATAGTTCATACAACATATTCATTACAACATAGTGTAATGAATTTGCAAATTCAAAAACAAATCACTAGTCTTACTTGACGTGATCTTGAGAGGACTTAATTGGGCGGGGGATTAATTATAGTAAAAACATGTTGATTAATTTTATAGTGCCAAAAAAATCAGTGCCAATATTTGCAAAATCAAAACTTTTGTGAATCACTATTGCAAGTCTACTTGATGTGATCTTTAGGAAATTTGTACAAAAAAAAAAAAAGATACAATTTGGGTTCATTTTCTATTGCTTAACTTTTATAAAGAATATCTCTTTGGTTTTGAGACTTTAGTCTTTGCAACTTTAGGGATCTTATCTATTCACGAACAGATTGTAACACTCCAAAGAGAAAGGAAAACTTGAAATCGCATCATATGACCCATTTAATTAATCTGTTTCTTAATTCCTCATAGGTGATTCGTATGACGTGTGTGCCATTTGTTTGGATGAGTATGAGGAGGGCGACAAGCTGCGGGTTCTTCCCTGCTCACACGGTGAGTTTCTGTCTCGTTCGGCCCTTGATCAGCAAAAAATACAAAATTGGTTAATTTGCAGCTTGAAAAATTGAGCTGTTAAATCACTTAAATATTTCAGATTCCAAACAAGTATTGTCAACAGAGTATGTGTTGTTTACAACTAAAGACAATAATGTAAAAATATTGTAAACTACCATCAACACACAATTTGTTTTTGTTTTTATGAACAATAGTATTACTTATTTAACTAAAGTATTATTAAATTAAATTATGAAATGAAGCATTTAACCTAGAGCTTTTGTTGAAAATGTTGTAACCACGTCACAAAAATAAATGAATAAATAAAAATTAAATAAAAGCATCGTTAAAAAAAACTTTCCAAGTCAGTTAATGTAACAGTCAAAAAATAAATAAATAAAATAAAATAAAACAATTATAAATTATTTGTTTAAAAATTAAAAATAATTTAATAAATAAAATTTAAATGTAAACATTTAAAAAAGTTATGATAAAAATTAACCCAGGACATTAAAGTACACAATAATCATGTATGTAATATCAATTTATATACAAAAAATTACATTTTTATATGTATAAAAAAAATGCACATAGGGTACACTTTATATTTGTGTAAGATACATTTTTAATTAAAATGAGAGCAGTTTTTGTTACTAATAAATAAAAAATAACAAATGAAGGCATGGTAGGGAAAAAAAGATTTTTATACATTTTCAGAAAAAACAACTCATGGCATTAAAGTGCAGAATAATAATTAGAATAATTTATATATTAAATCCAATTATCAGTAGATATTTATTTGAATATAAATAAATAAATTTTTATATGCACACACATAAACACACACACACACACTTAATGTACACTGTATAGTCATGGGAGATCATGTTTTATTATTAATTTTTAATTTTATTTAGTGGAATTTTTAAATGAACTACTAATAAATTGAAAGGATTTGGATTGTAATAGATCAGCTTTGTCACGATGTGTGGCACTAATTCTCTCTGCACCAATCATCAGCCTATCACTGCAAGTGTGTCGACCCATGGCTGACCAAAACCAAGAAGACCTGCCCCGTGTGCAAGCAGAAGGTCGTGCCGTCTGACGGCGACTCCGAGTCCGAGTCCGAGTCGAGCGACAGCGAGGAGAACGAAGTATATCGGAAACGTCTACTGAATTTGCAAATTCAAAATCATTGCGAAACGCAAGTTTACTTGATGTTGTCTTGAGGAAACTTAATCATGAAGAAAAAAAACAATGATTATAGTGAAGTTCTGATCTTTTTTTTTTTTTTTTTCCTATTGGCAAAATTTTTTTTTTTTTTAAAAATCAGC